GCTTCGAGCCTGTTGCGCCAGAGGTATCTCTTGTGCTAAGATAGTAACATCCCTAGTACAGGGTAAGGAGCCACTAGGGCCTGGGTTGTCCATACCAAGTCTTCTCTTGGTTGGGTTAAGGCCACGAGTTGCATTTCGCTTCCTCGAACTAGCTCCTTGTAAAGGGCTGCTAGCCATCTTCCTCTTATTACCCCCGTTGCGACTTTTTTGTTTTCCCAAAGCCTTTGTATTCCTCGAAATGGTAATGGTGACTGGAATTTGTGTTTTAGCTAAGGGGGAACCAGGTTGATGAATATCCCTTGGTGTGGTATTCGAGTAAGAAGGTTGATTAGTTTCAGCAATATATTGAATTTCAATATCTTGGAGTCGCCCAGAATCCTCATTTGATGCTCCACCCAACCGCTGCAAGGCTGGTGCCTTTTGTTGTGAGAGCCTTTCCAAAGCTAGTCTTCTGGAGCGAGGTGTGCTCTCATTGTAGTGTTCACTTTTTCTAGAGGTCGTGCAGGTGAACGATGTGAGTGATTCTGTGGGGAGGGTGAGTCGCTGATATCAAAATGAGTATGTCGTCCCTCCGTATGTGCTCTGTTTTCAGGTCTTCGTATTAGCCCTCTGTCAATGGAGGTTGCTTCCCGTACTTGTGGACTATGGTGGTTTGCGGAGTGGGAGCTTGAGGTTGTGATGTGGGGAGCTGGACGGATACGAGACCAAACTCTACCGGAATCTTTTTGAGAAGCTTGAGCCAAGTCGTGATGGTGATCTCTTTCTGCTCTAGTGCTGAAGTGATTCAGATGAGAGGCTGGTGACGTGAGGTTTCTCCCTGAGTGATTGTTATAATCATCACTGAACCTTGAGATGCTCCTCGGTCCGTTAAAGGATCTGCCTTCAGAACGTTCAAACCTTCTGTCATTGTGATGCCTTTTCTCAGCTTCGATACGGTTGAGCATCCTCCGTTAATTGATGCCAACCTTGGCCATGTGACTACCTGATTCCGAGGAGAGAGGGCAATCTTTCTCGTCATGGGTTAATGAGAAACATGAGAAGCAATGCTTTTCCAGCTTTTCATATTCAAGCTCCACCATAGTGATTTCATCCATGGGGAGACAGAGATCCATCTGCATTTGCAGGGGCTCCAAACCATTTATTTGAACCCGAATCCTTCCTTGGTCGTCATCTCTGCCATC